CTTGGGTTGTTTCCGACATCTGGTGAAAATTTCATGTCATTAGCACCTCTAGTAATATATTTACTGAGAAAAATGTTGACGTGTTCAATACTTATTTTACCTGCTGTAGGTCAAAATCCCTAGGAGGAGTTTGTCAGAGTTCTACATGAGCAAAAATGAAGAACGGCCAAAAAACAACCTTTGACCCAAAGTGGTTGACTTCCTGTTGGATTTTGGGTATACCGCCAAGAGACTTTGGCTGTGTCTCAATTCGTGTGCTGGGTGGATGAGTGCACATTTGTCGGCTGCATACATCATTGCCTCGCGTGGAGGACTGTCCCAATTCGAAGGCTCCTCATCATGCGGCTGAAGAATGCAGCCGACAAACTCTAGAAATCCGAGGATGGATCCGTGTATCCTCACTGGCCGAGGATATCCCAGGATTCAATGCAGCAAAATAAACAGAGAAATGAAGACGGTGGAGTTTTTATTTTTTTAATGATTCGGTGTAGTTTGGAAATTCACCATAGACTGAAGAATTTGTTTTTAAAAGTAAATTTATCAACTTAGCTGTTGAAATTTATGCTGTAGTAAGACGTTAAATAAAAAATTTTTACACTAGAGCTAAACCCGAATTAATGTTTTTTTAATTTATTTATTTAAGTGTAATGTTTTAACATGAAATTATTCTTCCAGTGAAAAGACTTGTAAATACATGTTCCAACATATCTCACCCCTAATTTACACTATATGCGTTACAGCTCCGGTCCGACCTCCGCAGCAAACACACACCCTTTATAACCATTGAGAGTGTTTACACTGGCTGCACAGGGCGGCGAGCGGACGGCGATCCGTCAAAATTAGATCCAATCCTATTTCTGCCGGATGCCGGAGCTGCGCTGGAGTCATTTTATAAAGGTGACATCACACCATCAGGAAAAGAAACAAGCACAACATCCATATTTTCAAAATAAGACACTATTAGGCGGGATAATTTGTCGGAATAATGTCAAAATCCCAGATATATTAATCAATACGTGGATATATTTCTACACAAATGCTGTCAGAATGTATCAGATGAAATCATGTAGCATGAAGCTATGTGTACACACACCATGCACGTGGATTTTGTTTTGAAATCAGAAGTCTCAGAAAGCCGACAGCGAGACAGTTTCAACATAGATACAAAAAGCCTTTATTTCGTTGATTTCAGCTGTGTTTGGAGTTCGTCCACATTCATCACTGAATTTATCGCGTGATCTCCGTCCTGCAGGTCTGTTGGACCGGAGGCTGTATAAATTGAGACACAAACGAACAGCTGCGACCTGCGCACCGCAGCGCAGCGGAGCGGAGCGGAGAACGCATGTAGTGTAAATCCGGCATAAGTCTGATATGAAACTGATCACTATGGTAACGGGGTAGTGCGTGGTCATGTAAACGTACGTCAAGCCTACGTCAGGCGAAGGGTAGACCGTCTCATTTTACAACAGTTTTGAGCAGCCTACCCAGACTAGGAAGGGTGTGGCCCATGTGAACCAGCTGGGCTACATGCTCATGAGGACCCAGACCATGAACTGAGACACAGCCTTTTTCTCTTGTTTTGGGGAGTTCTACGTATGTACAGAATTTCAGCTCTCTGTGATGCACCAGGTCCCCTATTGGCCCCTGTGGAGCCATTTGGCCCCGCCCATTCAAAAATCCAATGTAATACTAAGCTATAGCTCTAAAAAGGATCATTACAATTACAATCGGCCTAATATAATAATAATAATAATAATAATAATAATAATAATAATAATAATAATAATAATAATAATAATAATAATAATAATAATAATAATAATAATAATAATAATAATAATAATAATATTTAGATTAACAATAGGCCTTGGCAGCACTTTTGCTGCTCGGGCCTAATTATTCGGGTCAGTGTTATGTGTATTATCTACCTGCTAATGATCAAACTGTGGACTCCATACTTGCTCTCTATCTTGTACTTTCCTGGAGCATCCAGTGGGTTGACCAGCACTCCTCCTTTGTACCTAGAAATAAACATATTCAGCAGAAAATATTATCTTATGGCCTTTCCAAAACCAGCCCAGGCCTCCTTTGCAAAAGAGATGATCACAATGGGATATGCCTGGTTAAATAATGGTTAACAAATAAAAATAAAATGTTTTACAATGCAATGTCATATACCTATATAGAAATACATTTATTTAAAATGCACCATATGAATCTGTGCCATCATAAACTAGCAGAGTAAGCAAACACCAGTGAGAAAAGTTAGACAGATGTAAAATACACATAATTTAAAATATGTAAAAGCTGACCATTTGACAATGGGCCTTGGGTTGCCTTCCACTGTGCAGAAAAGCTTGACTGGGGTTTTCTCCCACACAGTGTGGGGTCGCAGGGCCACCAGGAAGTCAGGCATCTTGGGAAACTCCTCCAACAAGTCACCACTTTTTCTCATCAAGTCCTTAACCTGAAGAGTGAGAAGCAATTCTAGTGAAAACATTAAGGACTGTGCAAAAGTTTACCAAACATCAGTATATTTATACGGGCAGTGAGTCATGATAAAATGCTGCTTTTTTAACCTGTAATAATTGAAAAGAATAATTTTATACAAATTTTTCTATAGAAAGGAACAATTTTCAGCTTTTATTTTGACAGTGAAGTCATCACTCTATATGATAAATGAAAATGTGATGAGTGTACATACACCTATAGTAAATCTAGTATTACAAATGTATAATTTTGTTGTTGCATAATAATGTTGAAGTTGTTTTTGTACATTGGAATTAGAGTCAAAATAAGAGAAACAAGTCTACTAGAATAAAAAGAGGCCACATTTCATGCCAGACATTTAGATTATGAGAACTTCACTGACTTAATAAAATGTTGATAATAAAGTTGCCTGGGAGCTCATATTATATCACAAGATTTCATGTTCAGAATATGTTTTGGGCATTGCTCTCAGCTACTACCAGATCAAATTTTTGCTCAGCATAATTAAAACTGACATGAGTTGTAGCCATTTTGGATTTTGTTACTCATGAGCCCCTAAACAGATGTTGGTAAATGGTCTGAATTTATATAGTGTTTTAGTTTCTTCACACTCCAAAGTGCTTTACTCTTCATTCACTTATCCACACCCTGATGGTGGTAAGCTACATTGTAGCCACAGCTGTCCTGGGGCACACTGACAGAGGCTACCATGCACTGACGTCACCAGACCTTCTGACCACCACCAGTAGGCAAGACTGGTGAAGTGTGTTGCCCAAGGACACAACGACTGAGATGGATGAAATGGGAGCTTGAACCGGCAACCCAGTGGTTACAGGACTACTCCCCTCTGCCACAAATGTACAGCTACAGACCGAACTACATTTAAAGGGATCTCCGATTAGTTGTAACATTAGACTTTATTTGATAAACATTTATTTTAACAGTAAAATAACGACTGTAAAAATACTGTAGGATGTTTAGTTTTTATAATTTTTAAAAATATATTTTAACACAGATGGAGCCATTTTATTTACACACAAAGCATTCTGGGTAAATGATGACGTGGATAGGTCCTCGGTGCGAGGCTGCTAGCGAGCTATATCCACCCTGAAGGTTAATCTTGGACAATATCTGATGATCGACTCTTTTAAATGAAACCAGAGAGCGTTGACAGAGAGGAGAAGGTAGAAATGACTCAGCCTGGAACTGAAAATATGGATGGAGGACAACAGAGCTGCTTCATGGAAGAACAACCTCAGATTAGCCTGGTAGCCTTTGCGTTAGCCCAGATGCTATCACCATATATATGTATTAGCTCAGCGCTACACATTCTCCTCTCATCACTGAGGTCCTCCATCCACATGACAGAGAGGGGAACACAAAAATGACCAAGCTGTAACTGAAAATATGGATGGAGGACAACAGAGCTGCTTCATGGAAGAACAACCTCAGATTAGCCTGGTAGCCTTTGGGCTAGTAATGAGGCTATATAACCTTATATGTATTAGCTCAGTGCTAGCGCGACAAAAAAGCTAAACTGAGGTCCTCCATCCATATTTTCAGTTCCAGGCTGAGTCATTTCTACCTTCTCCTCTCTGTCAACGCTCTCTGGTTTCATTTAAAAGAGTCGATCATCAGATATTGTCCAAGATTAACCTTCAGGGTGGATATAGCTCGCTAGCAGCCTCGCACCGAGGACCTATCCACGTCATCATTTACCCAGAATGCTTTGTGTGCAAATAAAATGGCTCCGTCCGTGTTAAAATATGTTTAAAGTTTTAGTTTAAAAATTATAAAAACTAAACATCCTACAGTATTTTTAGTCTTTATTTTATAGTTAAAATAAATGTTTATCAAAAAAAGTCCAATGTTACAACTAATCGGGGATCCCTTTAAACACCAAGGCTCAAGCTGCAATCTTGAATGAGATTAATTCTAAAATGCATTCAGTTTTTGATATAAAATTGATTACTTTCTGAAAGTTTCAATAAATTTGTGGCCACTTTTGGTACGGATTCACCCCAGAGTTTATAAAGATTTATGTTGAAAATGTACAAACACATGTAAAGTACAACAATTTTAGATTAACAACAAACAACTGATGAGCTGAAGAAACAGCAGCTGGGAAAGAACATTTTCTATTATTTAATCTAAAACTTTCTTAATCTTGTAAATTCTGTGTAAATTAGCAGATTTTTTTAGATATGAACAACTAAATAAAATGTTTAGATTAAATTTGCAATTATTAACTTTTATTATGTTACTTAAAATACTATATTACCTAATTCCTAAAATGCAGAAATGGATAAAATGCATCAAAGAATATAAAGTCAACCAAGTTCTCAAATATCCAAACGTGTTTTTCATTCTTAGTAAAAATAAATCTAAAGTAAATGCAGTCTCATTAGGTGCAGTGTTCCTCTAACCACTGACCTCTCTTTGGATGGCGATACTGTCCACTTGAGCTTTGGTTGCCATCCTCATCCTGTGAAGCTCCTCCTGAATAACAGCTAGTCCTTTTCCAACATTTGAGGTCACTCTCTGGTACTCCTCAGTTTCCTCAGCAGTCCTAATAACACAAACAACATACTTACATATCATATTTTTACATATGCACCATCAAACTATCACAGTGCTGTGCAGAAGCCATGGGTTTATCTGACGTTTTTATTTAAAGCGGATGACTTTTGATAAGAAAATTTCTTAACTGTGAGGACTTTAACTGTACTATATACATATAGGCTGACAAAGACATTACCTCCACATTAATATTATAATTTATTTCTATAGCTGACCAGCGGCTATGAGTAATTCAAATTAAACAGCTATTAATGTACTGTATATGTGCAATCAGAGGTCTTATAGCAGTGTTCCAGTCCATTACTGTATTAACATTTGCCTAAAGTAGCCTTACACAGAACTGCAGTCAATGAGAACTCACCTCTGCCGGAAAACCGGTACGGTATAGGCTGGTTCTGCCATCGCCTCAGTGGCCTGAGCCTGCACCTGACTGGCTGATTTACAGCTGGTTTTCCTGCTGAGGGCAGAGGCCAAATAAAGAAGTCAAACACAATGTTGCTGTAACAAATTTTAGGTTTTGATTTGTCAGAAGCTGTCAGCTGGTTAAAAAAATACTGTGATCCATCAGAGCCTACTTACTTGAATTTAAATCAAATAGTGTTGTTAATAAAGCTCAACAAAATGTGTGTTTTCTGAATGGAAAATGTCTGGAAGTGTTTTCAATGTAAAAACTTCTGCAGATTCTTAAAAAACATCCTTATTTTTAGAGGTTCTGAACACAATAGGTGATAAATGCTGATACTAGTGGTTCAACTGAAACATTTTCAAGCTTAATGTAAACACTAAAGTATGGAAAAATGGCCAAACCAGCTTTTGTTAATTTTGATGCGATTTTCTCAAGATCTTGAAATAACCAGTGTTTTTAACTGCGTTTTGAGAAAACAAGCTTTGTGAAGGGCAACATGGTGATGTAGTTCAGGGTGTACACCAGCTCTCCTGCAACCCAGCATGAAACGATTTTGTTTACTCAAGGTATTAGAAACAAGCTTTAAAACACTTGGAAATTATTTTAAACTTCAGTTCACTGATCAATGATGGGTGCTGATATGAAAAGTTTTAGCTTGAACTAGTTAAAAACATGACTGTCCAGATTTCTGATAAAAATATGGCTTTGAATTGTGCTTTTGAAATAATTCCTAGTTATCTTTTCTTTCTGCTTGGCCTTCAGAGGAGTCGGACGCTTCTTGCTTTCTCTCCCGAACCCTCCCTCTTTTCCCTGCTTTGCTGCTGGATCAAGCCTTTCTTCTGTCTATCATTTGGCAACAAAAGAACTATGAATGCAATTGATATAATTTTTTCCACTCTGAGATTAGAGCGTAGGGAGCGCAGTTGTCCCAGCGTCGGGTAGCTGGGGGTGGTATCTGATCTGCCTGGCACCTCTTTCCATTGAGGATGTCGAAGATGTTTTTATATTTGGATTTATGATAATCGGATTCCTGCTGATCGGCTGTGGAGGAGTTCTGGATTATCGGAAATTGAGAACGACACTGACGGTATTCCGGGCCTGTGAGAAGCTGTCAGTGACCCTGGATGGGATCTCCTGTACGGTGAAAGCACAGACTCAAATGAGGGGGGCGCGGGCCGGCTGTGGTCCCTGGACTTTGCTAGGACCGCAGCCCAGCAGCGTGTGCATGAGGAGTAAGGCAACATCTGGGTGAAGTTCATACGGGAGAGGCGAGATGGTAACAAATTTGGATTATTGGCATTTTCGCCACACAGAGGCTCAGTTAAGACTTTAAACCAGTGGAAGAAAAGTCTGTTGCTTGCTCTAAAGAATATATTCCTGTCATCAGATCCCCACAGATGTGACCTTGGTCGCAGCTGATAAACCTCCCTGGATGAAATGTTGGAGGAAGCCTTGATCCACCCCCACTCCCTTTCCCCAAACCCCACCTGTGTCTGGACCCGGTCTGGAGGCCATGCTGGGTGGAAACAGAGGAACTGAACTCTGGTGACCTGTGCTGACTGATAAGAACTGGTTGGACTCTGTAGGGCTCCTCTGCACCCCTTCCCCACTTATATATGCTTTGTTCCCCCCCACCCTCCTCCCCTCTTTAGCTGCCGTTTCTTGCAGAATGGTTTTTTGTACGCATGCTCGTGTTTTTCGTATTAAACACAGGATCAAAGCTCTTTTTTTAACTCATCCTTCCTTTGTGTGTGTATTCTAAACTGCAAARGTAGCGTACTACGTTGCGCAGGGCCTTGGTCATTCGTTCCCCCGTGTCTGTCATGTGTGTGTGTTTCTCCGGACGGATGTTCTAAACTGCAAATTTCGTTCTACATCGCATCTTGATGTTGTGTAGGAATGACAATAAACGATTCTTGATTCTTGATCAAAATAAAATGAGCTTTTCTAAATCAAAATTAACATAATAACCTATCCTGAGAAAACCAGCTCTGCTATCTCAAAATACATTTCGAAGCACATCTCTCTTTTTCTCTTGACTTCCATACTAAAATTAGCTGGTGTTTCATATAAATTTGAACAATAAATAAAAAATGCACTACACCTTGGTCTGTGTACATATTTACTGTATGATTGATGTGTTTATAAAAGTTATTCAGACCATCATGTCTCAAACATCTTATTGATGTCACTTTCTGTAGCTCTGACCACTTGCATCAGGTAAAGGTCAGGTTCTGGTGTTGGTATGAGTCATCTGACATGGGACAAATGCTACATGACAAAATAGCACCAGGCTTGGTAATCAAAGCACGACTGTAATGAGTCAGACCTGTTGCATAGATAATTGACACTTTGCTCTACCTTCATTAGTGACAAAATAACACACTTATAAAAGAGCATCAAGTTTAGCATACATTTGTTTTGTTGCAGAGCATACAGACAGCAAAGTATGATGTGAGGCTTTCTAAAGACACAGCAGTGCAATTCAGGAAATATGCATTTATGTCACTTCAGTTATGACACATAGCAAAAGAAGCAGAATACAAGTAGGAATAACATTTTCTAAAGGTATGATGGGTTTGGGCTCTGAAGCTTCTGGATCACAAACTTATCAGTGACTTCAACACAAGCCCTGACAAAATGTATGGAATCAGCAGTCTTGGATGAGCACTCATTCAGACATTTCATTCTGTAAAACAAACTCAGATCAAAAACATGATACAATAATAAGGTCATTCCAAAGGTCAACTTGTTGGCTTTCAGGAACACTCAAAGAAATGAAGAGAAAACATTGTGGAAGTCAGTGAATGCTACTTTTATTGACCAAGCACAGGGAAAAATATGGAATCACTCAATTCTGAGGAAAAAAGTATGGAATCACTCAAATTGGAGGTAGAAAATAAGGACACACCCAGTCAGTTTCCTTTCCCTAAATGGGCACCTGGCTCAGATTAGATCTGCTGGTTAGTCTGCAGTTAAAAACACCTGCAGTCATGACACCTTGGAGGGCTGCTGGACCAAGTGGAGTGGACAGAACCATGGCTCCAACAAGAGAAATGTCTCTTGAAACAAAGAGAGGATTGTGAAACTTCTTGAAGAAGGTAACTCTTCACACATGGTTGGTAAAGATGTGGGCTGTTCTCAGTCAGCTGTATCCAAGATATGGACCAAATACAAACAGCATGGAATGGTTGTTAAAGCCAAGTGTACTGGTAGACCAAGAAAGACATCAAAGTGTCAACACAAACAACTTAAGACCATTTGTCTTGAAAACTGAAAAAGTACAACTAAACAGATGAAGCATAAATGGGAGGAAGCTGGAGCCAATGTATGTGACTGAACTGTAAGAAATCGCCTAAATGAAATGGGATTTCAATCCAGGAAAGCTAAAAGAAAACCATCATTGACACCTAAACAAAAAGAACAAGACTGCAATGGGCTAAGGAGAGGCAATCATGGACTGTGGATGACTGGATGAAAGTTATCTTCAGTGATGAGTCAAGAATCTGCATTGGACAAGGTGATGATGCTGAACTTTAGTTTGGTGCCGTTCCAGTGAGATTTATGAAGAGGACTGAAGAAAACAACACATTTCCACAGTCCTTGATGATATGGGGCTGCATGTCAGGCACTGGGGAGATGACTGTGCTTCATTCTTCTATCAATGCACAAGTTTACTTTGACATGTTGGACAGTTTTCTCATCCCTTCAGTTGAACAGATGTTTGGAGGTGATGAAATCATTTTCCAAGATGACAATGCATCGTGCCATAGGGCAAAAACAGTGAAGGCATTCCTTGGAGAAAGACACATTCAGTCCATGTCATGGCCTGCAAATAGTCCAGATCTCAACCCAACTGAAAACCTGTGGTGGAAACTGAAAAAAAAAGGTCCACAGGAAGGCTCCATATCTGGCAACAGCTATCAGAGAGTTGGCACCAAACTGATGAAGAATACTGTTTGTCACTCATCAAGTCCATGCCTCAGAGACTGCAGCTGTTAGAAAAGACAAAGGTGGTTCAACTAAATACTAGTGATGTATTTTGAATGGTTTTTTGTTTATCTGTTTTTCATGATTCCATACTTTTTTTCCTCAGAACTAAGTGACATATTTTTTTTCCCTGTGCTTGGTCAATAAAAGTAACATTCAGTGACTTCCACAATGTTTTCTCTTCATTTCTTTGAGTGTTCCTGAAAGCCAACAAGTTGACCTTTGGAATGACCTTATTATTGTATCATGTTTTTGATCTGAGTTTGTTTTACAGGATGAAATGTCTGAACGAGTGCTCATCCAAGATTCCATACTTTTTGCCAGGATTTGTGTAATGTTAAATGTGCTTTTGAAGTAAAAATATTTTAGAGGTTCCAAGATACATAAAATGTAGTTTTTGATGAGTAAAATTACATAAACATGAATAAAATTAACTGCAATATTTTTTAACAAGCACAAATGTGGTCCTTTAAACCTCTTCCTTACTATAGACACAGTTGATGTGGTTTTATCAAGTTTAAACTGTAATAAAACAACAGCAGTCATTGTTTGCATTCACCACTTGTAATGAGGTAATTTGTTGAAGACAAATGAAAAGCAGACACATTTAGGGCACGAATCTGAACAGCAACAGATCTGCTTTCAGCAAATGGTTTGATGCATTCGTTTTCCTGGCAAAGCAGCAGAGGTTTACCAAGCAGCAGGTAGTTTCATCTGCATACCTTTCAGTCTGCTGCTTGACAACATGTTTACTGTGATGATAAGCATAATCAGTTTTAACTTGGCTCACATGCTTCTTCTTATACCAAGGTATGACTTGGGAGGCCATGATGGGAACACTTCAAGGAGACCTGATCATGAGCACCAAGGGAGGGGGGAGACGGACGACACCAAATGAATCAATCAACTTAGAAATGTCAACACAAGTTTTAACTTTTAACATTTCTCTCGTTGTATTAATTACTGTGCAAGATTACAAGTGTCAAGTTTCCTATTGTTAAAATACAGCAAAGTCACTGAGGTGGCTTTTAGGAAGAATTTCTACGGCGAGTTTTATTTTGCTAAATGTCAAAAACATTTAGCAGTTTAACCTTTTTAAGCTTGCCTCTTCCAGTTTCTTTTTTCTTTTTTTGCAACTTTACAAAGTTCAGCTAGCAGTAACCTGAATTATTCTGCTGATTCTAAGATAATTATTACCAAGAGCTCACATTCCTTACATCACTTTATTAAAATCAGTCTGAAATCAGAGTAATAACATTCCTGAGCATATTTTAAATAAAAAATATGAGATGTAAACAGTCATATAACTTACTCTTGCTAGCCATAAAATAAAAATAAACCTGCATCATTCTTATCCATGTCTGTTTAGCTGATATGAATTAGAAAAGAGGGTCAACAACCTCTTAAAATCAAGGTTTTGCTCAGAGAGATTAAGCACTGCTGCTACCCTGGTCTTCTTATACAAAAGACATGAAAGGCAATTTGTTTTAGCTTCAAACTTCAATATCTCAAGCTTGACACCTTAACTTCGTTCAAAACTTACCTTCAAGTTAAAAAAATACAATAAAATTAACCCACTACTCAGCAAATAATATTAAATTTGACTTACCTCGAGAGATTAAAACAGCAGAAAGCGGTGGCAGACCAGCCTGATGCTGCTTGGGAAGCACTTGCTGATGGTAACAAAAATATTACCCTCTCATCAGAGGAATGCTGTTCCCCTTCCACCCCATGTATGGATGCACTTACAACTATATATAGAATTTAGCCTTAAAATTTGTTCTCAATCTGCGGTTTGTAGTTGAAGAGCTTTAATTTTTACCTGCAAAATAAATCAAGTGTATGATGTTATGTTTCACTGACTGCCAAACTTTGACTTTAAGGCTCAAATGAAAATGGGATTAAAGAAGGGAAATCTGTTAGTACAGAGAAAAAGAAACCGACATAATCAGTAAAACATTCATCATGTCTAAGTGTTGCTTTGTTTTTGAAATAATTAAATGGAGTACCCATTTACTTATTTATATTAGCAGTTTATATTTTAGAAGGATTAATAAAACACATCCGACATTTGTATGCCAACAATATAAATTTCAGCAAGAACTGAAACCAACTTTTAAGATTATTTTGTGGCAGTTTCCCACACTCTTAAGAGCTTAAGACCTTTTTAGGATTCTTGAGACAGCCTGTCCTCCTTGGCTCAACACTTGCAGGCAGTGGTCTGGTTATTTTTAACAGCAGATCCTGTGTTACAGTGATACCCCTGCTTTAAACTGTACATAAGATTCTGCTGCTATTTTTGATCACACAAGCTTAAAAAAAAAGCACACAAGAAAAGATATGGATGAATAAAATGCAAAGTCAATGTCAGAAAGCCACACTAAAATGAACAAAAGCAGCTTTGATAAGCCGACACAATTTCTTTGGCATTATGCTGAAACTTTTTTTTCTGTTGAGGACATTCACTTACAAAATGTACTACTTAGAGTCCTAAAGTCAAAACAAACAAACAAATAGAAAGCTGTTTTGCAACATGAAACAGAATTAACAAAATTACACTAAAGGCCTAATAAAACTTTCAATTTGGAAGATGATTTTCAACAAAACAATATAACAAAAAAAAGACAAAACTGAGTTACATCAGCTACTCCGCAAAACTCCAAGAAATGATGGACTTCCAGATATCACAGGCATTACCCAAAATGATAAACAGGTTGTTTGTGCAGTTAGTGGTGCCCCCAGACAATTACTTGCAGAAACTATTGCTAGTGTAATGCATTACAACTAGGCCTCCTTGACAATAGATGATGGTCCTCTTACACCATAAAAATAGTAGAACATAGATGATCTTTGCATAGTTTTGGTGTGTGAGGCTATGAGAGGCCCTTTAGGCCATATCTCATTCTTGCTCTCACATAATATCAAACTCTCTCACATACAGGTGCTGGTCATAAAATTAGAATATCATGAAAAAGTAGATTTATTTCAGTAATTCCATTTAAAAAGTGAAACTTGTATATTATATTCATACATTACATACAAACTCAT